GTGTTGCCACAGCACTCTACCCAGGGGGATAGCTTGAGGCTCTGTCTCAAAAAAAAAAAAAGAAATTTTTTTTTAATTCTGGCAATTTTCAAAAAATTGGCAGATCTGTACACCCAGGTCCTGAATTCCCACAGAGGAATGTGGTGGGCACTTGGTCACAGCTAACAGATCTCACTTGGTCCTGTCACCTCCCTCATCCTCTTGGTCTCTGTCAAGTTTGTGTACATCTGAACTCAGATTTCAAGACAGCAGTCCAGGGAATGTGATGGATCTGTGTTTGAAAACTAGGTCTAAATCAGACAAGTCACCTCAATCCTCACCCTCCCCAGGTGCTGAAGACAAGGCTGACCCTGCGTCGGACAGGCCAGTACAAGGGGTTGTTGGACTGTGCCAGGCAGATCTTGGAGCAGGAGGGCACCCGTGCACTTTACCGCGGCTACTTGCCCAACATGCTCGGCATTATCCCCTATGCCTGCACTGACCTGGCTGTCTATGAGGTGTGGGTCCCAAGAGGGGTGGCAATTGTGTGTGTGTATGGGGAGGTATAGCTTGAACTTAGGCTTTGAGTGAGCTTTTTCTTGGTCCCCTTCACTTGCAGATGCTCCGGTGCTTCTGGCTCAAGTCAGGCAGGGACATGAAGGACCCCAGTGGCCTGGTCAGTCTGTCATCTGTGACACTGTCCACAACCTGTGGCCAGATGGCCAGTTACCCATTGACTTTGGTGCGCACCAGGATGCAGGCTCAAGGTTAGCCAGCCCCTGGGGGCTACTGCCTCACTCTAGATCTCTGAATCTTTTCATTCCCCCAAACTGAACACGACTCTTCATTGTCAGATCCTGGCCACATTAACTGACCCCTTAGCCCACTAAGACTTATCATACTCCAAAATCTATATTGGCCCTCAAATTAATTGTAAAAAAAATCACAAACTTTCCAAAATGGACCTGTGGGCCCCTATATAGAGTCCAAAGACAAATACTCCCCAAATTATCTCGGAACTTCTCCAAATTAGATCCAGCCCTCAAGTGGCTCCAAAGCCAATATAGTCCCTAAACTCACCAAATTTAACCCTTGGATTCCCCAAAACTCACACCCACTTTCTCCCACTACCCTGGGAATGCCCCAAATCTGAGTCCCCTCAATGGACTCTCATCCCCTAAATCAATCCACAAACCTCCAAACAGGGACTTAGCCCACCACTCTGATCTTGAAAATGTCCCCAGTGGCCAGGCACAGTGGCTCATGGCTGTAATCCTAGCATTCTGGGAGGCTGCAGCAGGAGGATCCCCTGAGCTCAGGAGTTTGAGACTAGCCTGAGCAAGAGCAAGACCCCCATGTCTACTAAACATTGAAAAAACTAGCCAGGCATGGTGGGCACCTGAAGTCCCAGCTACTTGGGAGGCTAAGGCAGATCCTTCAGCCCAAGACTTTGAGGTTGCTACGAGCTATAATGATGCTCTGCACTCTACCCAGTGGGACAAACTAAGACTCAGTCTCACAACAAATAAATAAGAAAGAAAATGTCCCCCAAATACCGGTGGGCACACCCCCCAAATCTCTTCTCTTACTAGATCACAGATGTTCCCTCCCAAATAAGCTCCATTGTTTTCTGCGATGTTCCCTAAAATTAATCTCCAAAACTCCTACCTGACTGATCCCCTCACTCCCCCCAAAACTGACCAATTTCCTCTACAAATCTTCCAAACTCCTTACCAACTGACCACTGGGCCCCTACCCTTTACTTTAGCCCTCACTCCTCTATATTCCAGCCTCCCAGGAGGTGGAGTCATCTCTGGCCAAGTTCTGAGACTGCCTCTGTCCCTGCAGACACCGTGGAGGGTTCGAACCCCACCATGCGAGGAGTCTTTCGGGGGATCCTGGCCCAGCAGGGCTGGCCCGGGCTGTACCGAGGCATGACCCCCACGTTACTGAAGGTGTTGCCAGCAGGTGGCATCAGCTACGTGGTGTATGAAGCCATGAAGAAAACACTGGGCGTGTAGCCTGTGAGCTGGATGACACATCCTGGGCAGGAATGGGACAGAAGGACCCTTTCCCTTCATGGTCCCACAGAGCTCTCCAGCTCAGGCCCTGGAGGCAGTTTTTGGCGGAAAATGCAGGCAGAAGATTCCTGCCCTTCCCTCGACCCCCACTCAGGGTGCAGCGTCGGACTAAAATTTTGGGTTTCAGTCTAGCTCCTTATAGCCTGTCCTGGCTCCACTGCGAAATGGTGAACAACCAGGAATAAAGAGATGGCTTCTGCTGAAGTGCCTGGGATGCCTAGGGCCAGGAGGGGAACTGGGAACCTTAGGTTCTTTCCGCCCTGAGTGGGAATTGGGACCCTGATGATGCCCGGGTCCAGGAAAAAGTTGAAAGGCTTAGGGTGGGAATTTGGGCATAGGGATTCCGGAGCCTTGTGTGATGGGGGTGTGGGTTGGTGCTATTAAGGGCTGGGATCCCTCGGTGCTTGGAAAGGGACTAAAGAATCTTGAGTTCTAGAGAGGAGCTGGTTGCATGAGTCCTGGAGGACAAGTAAAGGCTTTAGATTCCTGGGATTAGAGGGAAGAGAGGAGAGGGTGGGGGGACAGGGGATCCCTTGGTTTCGCGCTCTGCGGCCACCCTACCCCCTGGAAGCATCCCATCTACAAGGCATCGAGCAGGCCACGTGCCGGGACTACGAGCCAGGGTCCTTGGAGCGCTAACCCAGACGTTAGGCCTGAATTTGGGCAGCCGATCGCCACCGCTCATGTCCGCTGCCATTCACCCGGGTTCCTGCTAATCCCCTCTCGCTGTTCCGCGGCAAGCTCCGCCCCACTGCAGCTGCACTTCCACTGGCTCCCACCAGAACCGGGCACCTTTACTTTCTTCATAGCCATTTGTTCGGAGCAGTGTCAGTCACCCTAACACCCGCTCCTGTCGCTCAGCCATTGGTTTAGAAGTCAGGGCCAGAAAGGGATTCTGGTTAACAAGGACAGCAAGCAGGTCCATGGCTAACCTCGTCATACAGCACTCGTCAGGGATTAGTTAGTTGCCAATCTTCACAAGTATCACCTCCTACCTATAGTCATTGGCTTGAGTGCGCGACTATCAATCAGTCCAAGCGCCCTCCCAGCAGATCCAAATGGAGGGGTCTTTCTCTAGGCACTGCCTCTCAGTCCACGTGACTCTTCGGAGACGTCAATCTAGCTCTGAAGCCGCCCGGCGAATCTGGAACTAGCGTGTCATTGGGCCTCCCGCCTTCTTGGGTCGTCTCGATTTGCCCGCCCAGTTTCGGCAGTCCGCAGCCCATTGCCTCCGAGAGTTGTCGGTCACTCAGCACCTTCCGCCCACTGACTCCTACTGCACTCTGATTAGCCAATCGCCTTCAGAGCCCACGATTGGTGTACGGGATGTGACGGCCACCTTCCATTGGCCCAGCCGAACGTCCGTCACACCGGCGGCGGGAGGGGGCGACCATCTCCCCCGCCCTCGTCGTCTTCCCAGCCGCTGGGTTCCCATAGTGCTCCGCGGCCGTGTGGAGCGAGGCCTTGTTCCCGCGTTGAGCCGCCGCCGCCTCCTCAGCTTCAGCCTCCGCTCCAGGCCCGGCCCCGCCGCGCCATGTCGGACTACAGCACTGGAGGACCCCCGCCTGGGCCGCCGCCGCCCGCTGGCGGGGGCGGGGGAGCCGGGGGCGCCGGGGGAGGCCCTCCGCCGGGCCCGCCGGGCACAGGGGACCGGGGTGGCGGCGGCCCCAGCGGCGGCGGCCCCGGCGGCGGGGGTTCGGCTGGGGGGCCCTCGCAGCCGCCCGGCGGAGGTGGCCCAGGAATCCGCAAGGACGCCTTCGCCGATGCTGTGCAGCGGGCCCGCCAGGTGAGGAGGCCGCGGGCCTGAGGGGCGCGCACGGGCGGGGGAGGGGGCGGGGGTCACGTGCGCGCTCGGGGTCGCTGGGGGCAGCCGGGGCCGTGATGGGGTCACGTGGTTGGGAGGCGGGGTGACTGGCCCTCCCGGGGTACCTCGAGTGAACTACCTGCGGCTGGTCCGCTGCAGGGCTTAGGGCCGCATCAGTGGTCACCGAGAATGGCCCCTGGGTGTGCAGGGGGTTCCTGGAGCTCGGGGACTCACTTTGGGACTCCCCCCATTAGGATACGCGAGGACATGTTTTGCCTTTCCCCCGCCCACGATTCGGCAAAGGGTTATGTTGGTCCCCAACCCAATCCGATTTCTGTCCCTTCCCTACGAAGAAGGGACTTTGGGGGATCTGGATAGGGAGTTCCTCCCTCTCGAGTCTGAAAAGTGGGTAGGGGACCTATTTGCAGCTAAAGTGGCTGAGCACTTGGCCGAAATGGGGAAGGTGAGCATAGGGCCATCTCTTGGGTGCTTTGGGTGGCTTCGGTGTGGTCTGTCTTTCTGTAAAAGAGGGGAGGGTCCCACTGTCCTGTTTGAGTCGTGATGACAATAAGGAGGTATCACATGCTGGTGTGACTGACCTCCCCAGTTCCATTTGCTGCCTCCCCAAGGCCTGGAGGGGTAGGGGCCGGTAGAATGGGAGGACTTTGCCGCCCTTTCAGGAAGCAGACCAGCTGAGGGCGAGCTCGGGGCTGTCCCACTGTCTATGGGCTGGGCCTGACTCCTCCTAAGGTAGGAGGTTCCGTTAGGTGAGAGGCTTCTCAGTGTGGTCTCCAGCTTCCTCACCTCTGAGTGAGGTGGTTCCTAAAAAGCATTTGATCTGGTTATCCACCAAACTGTCTGGATGGTGAGGCAGTTTTCACTGCGGGGGCTGGTGCTGTCATTTGGGGTAGGATAAGGCCCCATCTGGGCATCCCAAGAGTTTTGGCTTCATGTAAGCATTTAAAAAAATTGAGAGGAGGAAAGATAGAGCCTTATTTCACCATTTGGGTTTCTGAACCATAGACAGATTTCAGTCTTAAGTTTGGTGAATTGGGGTTTATTTGAAGTTGCACTTCCTGTGTCTAAAATGTAGCATGTGTTTTGAAGCGGTCTTTTGTTTTGGTCAAAAGAGGATTTCAGATGCCTTGACACACCTTCCCTCAAATGTATTCAGTAAATTTATGTAAAGGCTTTGAGAGTGAAGGAGATAAAGGAAAGCTAAACTCTTCAGCATCACAGAAGAACCAGGCTAAAATAATACTTTCTGGTTCTCTGGGTGCTGGGGGCCACCAGCAGGAGGATACGTGTGAAAGCTCTTTGTCCTGGAAATGACCCACGGACCCTGCCTGGCACCCAAGTCTCCTTTGCTTTTACCTTAGAACAGCGGTTCTCAACCTGGGGGGTCGAATGACCCTTTCCCCTTTCATAGGGATCGTCTGACCATCAGAAAACACATACTTCCCATGATCTTAGGAACCAAGACACCGTTCCTCATGTGTGAGGGTCACCACAACATGAGGAACTGTATTAAAGGGTAAAGAACCAAGTCACTGTGGGTTGCAGCCAGATCCCAAACAATGTAGATACAAATCCCAAGCAAAGGGAAAAGGGAAATTTTCATACTTATGGATAATTTGTGAGAATCCTGAGGCCTTAGGTAAGCACTCCTTGTAGGATGTCTTAGCCCACAGGCTTTTCTAAATGGGAGGGTGGGTCTGTTGCCAGGCCAGACAACAAGTCTTGATGGGTTTTTATAACCCAGAGATGTTCTGAGAAGTTGACCTGAGCACTATGGAGTGTTGGTTTGGATGGTAATTCTTCTTACTACTTCATTTCTAGATCGCAGCCAAAATTGGAGGTGATGCTGCTACAACAGTGAATAACAGCACTCCTGATTTTGGTTTTGGGGGCCAAAAGAGACAGTTGGAAGATGGAGGTAACTCCCTCTGCCATTTTCAGCTTGGGAAAGAAGGGCTGGAGGCAAAAAGAGGAGCTTATATTGGGGTGTAGTTCAGAGTTGGATCAGGAGAACCTTAGCAATCTTAGCTTTGTTCATTCTTTTTGTTCAGTCTGCCATCCTGAGGTATCAGGTGGCAGAGAGGAGGGCAGGTTGTGAAAGTTGCAGTTCCCAAGATGATTCCTTTTCTGGGTGGCTGAGGAAACATGGGGCCAGTGATTGAGGTCAGACATAAAGTTTGAGCAGCCCTAAGGCTTGCAGCATTACCCAAAGCAGCCAGTGGTCAACTCCTGAGCAACTCTACTGTCCAGGACCCTGTGCCCTTCAGAGGCAGGTCTTTTCCTAAATTGGAAGGACCTGGGTGCTGCCATCATTGTTCACTTGTTATAAAAGGCTTTTTTACCCTTAAATATTGGTAGGGAGCTGAAGCCTGACTCCTTTCTAGGGTTATTCTTTTCCGGGCTCCTGTCTCCACTCTCATACTTGGGGCGAGGGAAGAGGGGAGTTGTTTGCCCGGGACATGTGGCATCAGGTTTGAGGCAACTGTGGGTGGGTGAGTGCTGGTTCTGACATCCTCTCTCTTTGACAGATCAACCAGAGAGCAAGAAACTGGCTTCCCAGGGAGACTGTAAGTCCATTGGGTGAAGCAGCCAGAGGGTGGCTTTGAGTCTTAAGAAGTTTTTAGGAGTTGGGACCAGAAGCACAGAGAGACAGCAGCTCTTCTTTATAGAAGCTCCTAGTGTTAACAGTCTGGGGCCCTTATGTTTTAGGGATCCCAGTCCTTAAATTTGGATCAGACTACTCTGTGTATGTGCTTTTGTGGGTAAGGATCCATAGTGCTCATCAGGCACTTAAGCAGGCTCAGGACCACTGTGACAAGTGCCAGTTGCCCTGGGCAGGCAGTGTTAGGGTGCCCAGAAAGGAGCTAAGCCAATCTTTCCTTTGCGTTTTTTCTTTGCAGCGATAAGTTCTCAGCTTGGACCCATCCATCCTCCTCCGAGGTAAGTTGTAGTTTGGGGCATACATTGATTTCTTGTCTGTTGTGAGTCTCTGGCCTTTCTTAGTGGCTTGGATATGTATGGTTCTGTCTGAGGCCGCACCATTGAGGTTTTTATGTCTTGTCACTAGCTGACCAGGGAGGGTGCAGATGGCAGAAAGGCAGAGACTGTGTCCACTGTACAGACCGGTAGGGGGGCGGCACAAAGTGCCATCTTGGCACTTCCTCCACTAGATTCTCAGAAGCACTGACATTTGTCCTAGAAGAGGCTAGGAAGGGCCTTCTTTTTCTCATGTCCTAT